GGGACCTGAGGCAAAGCCTGGAGTGAGAGGAGAGGTGCAGGTGTGCAGCTGGAGCACGAGCTCCTTGGGCTGCTGAGCCAGCCTTCCTGTCTGCCCTCTGTGCCAGCATTTACTGATAGTCCTCTACTGGGCTGCTTCACGTTTGTGGCATTCTTCTGCTCCTCAATCCCTCATTCCTTTGAATCCCACCCATTGCTCTACTAGCGTAGCAGGAAAACAAGTTCTTGCTGAACAATTTGGGGTTTCTGCTCCTTGTAAGGGTGAATTCTTCCAGCAGCCAGCACTGACTCCTGGTGGTGCCTCTGGCAGCAAGAGCTGCACTGCGGGGAAGGGCCTGGAGAGGAGTGTGCCAGCTGGGGAGTGCAGCACCCACAGCCACCCCTGTGTCCGTGCTCACTGGGCAGCCCTGGGTAGCGCCATCTGCACAGACTTCACTCTCTCTTATGCATTGAAGGAAGGTGCTTAACGGGGATTAACAGGCTTCAGCCTGGAAGGGTGAGAGTAGCTGCTGGCATGAGAGGTGTCAGGCCGGGGCTGCTGCCATGGTGCCTCTTGCCTGGGCTTGTTAAACGCTGGTGCTGCTGTGCTGCTCCCTGCAGTGCTCCTCATGGCTTTGCTTCCTAAGTGTTCTCATGAGGGCTGTGCTCGTTGCCCCTGCATTGCCCAGGGCAGGACCGTGGGGACACACTGCCCATGGAGCTGCCGTGTCCCATGGGGTGCTGGTGCCTCTGGATGCCCACAGGGCAAGGAGGAGTGTTTAGTCCTGCCCTGGCTGCTGTGACAGACCTGTCATCAAAGCTCCCTTTTCCCTGTTGGAAGCCTGTGCTAAGGCCAAGCCTACAGTGATCTCTTCTGCCCCTGACTGGAGGGGTCCCTGCCTGAGCCCCAGGGCCTGAGCTGGGTACTGGTCTCCCCAGAAAAGAACATCTCCAGAGAGGGGAAAGAGCTGTCTGTGTGTGAGCCCAGAGGGCAGTTCAGGTAAGCAGTGTCTGCTGTAGAACTTACTCAAACACAAAACTGTGGTTGTGGGCTTGAAAAAGAGAAATAACGTGCTTGAGCATAACTAACTCTTCAACAGAAGATAAAGAATAGCCTTTCTCTGCTGCACATGTGTGTCATTGGGTCAGGTCTCTACTGAGCTGTCTTTATCTGTTTATGTGCAGAATCCTTCCACAGCTGCTTCCTAGCAGGGCCACACTGGAAAGTAGCAGACTGGCATTTTTCCTCTAGTTGTCTTTGTGAACTGGAACAATAATAGCAGCAAAGAAGAGGCCAGTAGTTCAGCTCTGTTTTGATCTATTTATTGCATCTATTTAGAGCAGTAGATGAATTATTATTAAACTTTCAGTGGCCTGGTAAAAATGATAATGTGTCTTTGCTGTAGATCTGCTTCACGGACAGGCAGGGACTGACATGGTTGTAGGGTGCTTGCATTAAGGGTACATAAGTGGGACAGGAAATTTTGATTTCCCCCTTATCTCTTTGGATGGAGCCACTTCAGGGTGTCTGTGTACCACTGCCTGCACATCTGGTGGAATGGAGGATTCACCCACCTCCTGCCAGGCTCACAAGGGCTGAGCTGAGGAAAGGGCTGGAGGTGCTGGACATCGTGGAAGGTGTTGGGAGGCAGTGTCAGAGTCCATGCCCGCTCCTGGTGCCTCATAGCTGAACCAGCTGCTGCAGAATTGTTCTGGAGTCATCCTTACCACCCTGCGGTGCTGGATGGAAGCTGGTCAGATGTGCCAACTCTGCTTACAGGAGACCCAGATTAGGGCAGAGGATTAATGGCTCCTGGGGGTTGGTAAATGTGGTGGTTTACCACACCAAAAAATGTGTTTTTAAAGCATTTTCTTCCTAACTCTGTATCTGAATCCAGTTACAGCTGCTGTTGTGTTACTGCAGGACCAGCAAAATTAGCTATTGTCTTAAGTGATGAGCAAAAGAGGGGTGAAGGTTTAGGGTTGTGGCAAGGGCAAGAAACCTTCTGCTGGGCTGGAAGGGCAGACTTGGAAAGTCAGTATGGAGAGGTGCTGGGTGGCCAGTGCTCAGTGATGAGTTCTTGCTCATTTGTCTGCTTTGCCTGTCAGATGTTGAGGAGCTGTTCAGGAATGGCCAGTCTGGCTGCTGAGAGGCTGCAGACCCCCACCCATAGCACAGGGTTGTGGGGACCCCCAGGGCTGTACAGCCCTGTCTGTAGCTGAGGGCTGTGGGCACCCTGATGCTGTTCTGCCTGCTGCCCTCAGCCCAGCAGGGAGGTGTGGGGGCTGTGTTTGGTGCTGACCCCTCAGGCTGGGGTCTGCTCTACAGGAGTTCCTGCTGTTTGTCTCAGTTAAATTGTCTGTTTGAGTCAGCACCTCTGTCTCCCTCAGATTTAATCATGTCCCTCAGCACTGACTGTTCTGTGTGTCCACTGTCCCCCCACACCCTGTGTGTCTGGAGTTGCTGCCACAGCCCTGGGGCTGGGAGGAGGGCACACGGCATCCCTGGAGCAGCAGCCCCCTGGAGCAGCAGCCGCAGGGGTTTCAGCAGTAAGGGACCCACTGGTAGCAGTGCTGGCAGGAGGTGTGAGTGGCACTGGGAACGTGCTGCAGGTGCTGGAGTGTTTGTTTAGCAGAGCCTCTTGTGAGGAAGTTGCATCTGATATTTTGTAGTGCTTCCTGAATCACTTCCAGCATCTTGTGATGTGTCTCCACAGCAGCTCTTTATCCTTAGTCCACTCAGGCTGCAAGAGAGTTGAGAAAACCAGAGCAATTATCGTGGAGATGCTTCTGAGCTGAGCAGTGACACAGATACAGAGCAGGCACGTGGCCGCTGTGCATCCCTGGGTTCGCTGTGCTTGGGATTGGCACAGACTGGCTGCTCCCTGGGGACACTGCAGCACCAGGGACACACATCAGCAGAAGCCAGGGAGGCTCTGGGCTGGAGTGATGTGCTCTGCCTCTGGGGGAGAGGCAATAACAAATACTAGTCTGGATTGCCAAAGTCCTTATGTTTCTGTACAGAACCCCTCCATGTGTCCTTTCCACTTGAAATGCTGGATTTGCTTTCTCCCAGCAATGCCAGGAGCCTTTAATCATCAGCTGTGTCTGGATGGGCCCTTGAAGGGCAGTGACAGCGTGTGTTGGCTGAGCTGGCTGGGACAAAGGACACCAGATGAGGCTGCTGGCTCTGGCTGATGGGGGACCATCAGGGCCTGCTCTGTCACACCTGTCCATGCCTTGGCACAGCGGGGACACGGCTGGGGACATGGCTGGGGTCAGCACTTCCTGCCCTTGGCTCTCGGTGGTCAGCTCGCTGAGAAGAATGAGCCTGGCTTTGCTGTGACCTGCAGTGCTGCTGGAACCCCCTCCCTCGGTGGGACAAGGGACATGATCCCTTGGTGCTGGGCTGGGAAGGATGGGCACAGCTGTTACAGCCCAGGTGTGCCACTGCGGGAGCATGTGATGCTTCTGGAGAGGTGTAGTGAGGTGACCACTAGACTGGACTACAATCTCAGCCTCACGTGTTAGTGACTGACTTTCAGTTTGAAACTTGACACAGTAATTTAAGGGCTACATTTAATTTTCGGTGTAGGTTTTTTTGAACCAAGTTAATGTTTGCAAAGCAAGTCCCCACATGTGTGCCTTGTGTTCTTCCCTGCATCATTGTCTGGGTGCATTCAGCTTGCCTTTCAGCTGGAGGAGGGCAAGAGGCATCGGGCTGGTACCTGAAGAGACTTTTTTAGATCCATTTTATGGATTATATTTTATCTTTTTTTTCTGCCTCTGGATTTTGCGTTGCTTAACAGGAGCTAGGAGCAGAGAATGCTCTTCGGTCTCCATTAATCTTCAAGTTCCCACAAACTGCTTCAAATTTCTCTGCCCCATTTGCAGCAGCATCCCAAGCTGGGGGTTACATTGGACACCAAGCAGAGGTGCTGGGGTCACACCGGTGTGGCACAGAGTGTTGGCTAGGTACCACTCCCATGGTTCAAGCTGTGTGCACATATTTTATGTGGGAGAGTGCTGGTCCCTGCACAGCAAGGGCAGTAAATCTACTGTCAGAAGGCCTGCACATATGTAATGAGAGCAGATTATTTCTGTTTCCCATTATTTTGCAGCCTTGAGACAGTGGACAGATTATAGAGCATAGAGAGTGTATGTTTATCAGTCCTTGCCTGCCTCTTTCATCACCACCCCCCTCCCCGGTGACCCCATTTTCAGAGGGATAAAGCGAGCAACCCAACCTCATTTCTCAAATCTGTTGCAAACTCTGATTAGAGGAGTGGAGGAGCTCTGGCACGAGGCACTTGTGCAGCCTGCTGGGCCCAGGCTCTGCAGCCTTCCCACCCATTCCTGCCCTGCAGGTGCTGTCTGGCCTCTGCTCGTGCCACTGTCCCTCTTGGGGACCCTGCTCAGTAAGTCAGAGTCCTGTTGAACAGTTCTTCTCTCTGCAGGTGTGCCGAGGATGTAGGTGCAGCACAGCATGGGATGGGTGCTGCTCCTGCTCTGGTTGCTCTGGGATGCCATGGTTCCTGGTGTCCAGGGAAAGCTGCACCTCCCTGGCTGGGATGGCAGTAGAAGACAGTGTTTAGGTTGAGCGAGTTATGCATAGTGGAGTCTTGATACACAGTGGAAAAAATTCCACAGTGGCCTGTACTACTCCTGTGCTTGACAGGGTGCTGATGAGAAGTAATTTTGCTCTACCTGCATGATGATGATCAGACTGTAGAAGCATCTGTGATTTAGATGTCCTGATCCTGGCTGAGTCCTGGAACTGTAGACCTAGATTAGCATTGAACATCTGCATCAAGATTTTGGGAAATGTGTGACCTCACCAGAACCACAATGAGCAAGACAGAGTGTGTGGGCATTAGGAGACTAAACTGTTGTTTTGCTTCAGCTTGAACAGGCAGAAGATTCGGTGAGGGCAGCAGTGTCAGGTGCTGCGAGGCAGGGCTAGGTGTGCTGGGGTGGCCTGGGCTCTGCTGAAGCTGTTGCTGCACTGTCTCTCCCGTGCAGAACATCGTGTCCAAGAACGCCATGCAGTACCGCGGGAACGCCCAGCACGACGCCCAGGAGTTCCTGCTCTGGCTGCTCGACAGAGTCCACGAGGATTTGAACAACGTGGTGAATTCTGGTGGCATGCCTCCACTCAAGGTAAGGGATTCTGCTGCGGGACGCTGTGGGAGTCCAGCTTTGCACACAGGCTTTCCTTTTAAAGGAGAGTAGCTCTCCCCATTGGCTTCTGAACTTCAGTAGTTCAGATGGAACAAAAACTTGGGTTAAAATAATGTTTGTTTCTGCCCTGGGAGTGTAAGCAGCTGTTCCACTAATCCCTGGTGAGTGCTCCCTGAGGAATCCCTGAGTCGTGTTTGAGTGGCTCTGTGATAGCCAGGGGGTGTTAACCTTGTCAGGTGTGAGCCCTGTGCCCTTCCCAGGGCTGCCCTGCCCACCTCACCTTCCTGCATGCCCACCCTTGGAGCAGAGTGTGCTTGGTAGTTAAAAATGCTTGTGACATTTTCCCAGTGATTTTTGGCTAAGGAAGGCAACATTTGGCTGGGGTTTTGGAGCCACCTGCTTGGTGCACCCCCCACCCCTGGGTGTGCCTCAAGGGTTTGTTCTCTCTTTTAGCCACCGCTGGAGGATGATGTGCTGCTGGAGGGCCCAGCCTTTCCCATCAGTAGCACGTTTGTGCAGGAACTCTTTCAAGCCCAGTACAGGTATGGTATTTTGTAAATTTGTTGAATGTGTGGGTGACCCCAGTACAATTCTAAACTGACACTAGCTCCCAGTACAGTTGGGACTGGTGTCACTGTGTTAACAACTGTTTCTGAATTCCTGCTGAACTAAGACCTTGCTCTAGAGGAAAGAGAGAATTTCACTGCTTCAAAATTGGTATATTCTGTCTAAATCTGCAGTATGTACCACTAACCTGTTCCTGTGCATCCTGAGAGTGAGTCAGTGCTTCATGAGCAAAAGCTCAGGAAAGCCTAGTGCTGTGGGGCTCACCCTGACTGTGAGAGGGAAGAGCCCATGGCAGGATCTGGAGGTGCCTGGGAGTTAGGGATCCCCAGTGTGTGCAGAGTGCTTGTCATCTGGCACCTGGGAATTCTGAGAACATTTCCCTTGAGTTTCCCTTCTTTCTGGGAAGAGAGCTTTCTAATTTCAGAGCTATTGGAAGAGAACAGCTGAATCACCAGTGTTCCTTGATGGCTTGTGCCTGTACTGCTGTGAGAATTAAACTGCTGGGCTTCCTCCCCAGTGTTTGCCAACTCTTCCTTTGCAAAGGCGAAACCTTAAGCCTGGTCTAAGACACAAAGCCATTGTAAGGTGCAGATTGGTTCTGAATGAGAATGGAATTCTGGAGAATGAGAGTGGACTCTTGTCTGGAGCTTTTCCTGTGTAAGGGCTGTGTGCACCCCAGTGCTGTGTCCCTGTCCTGTAACTTCACCTCTCTCCAAAGACAAAACCCTTCCAGGCTTTCCCGTTGGATGTGCCGTCGGTGAATGTGGGATTTGATGGTTTATCCATTCCCAGTGCAGTGAGTGTAACTGTGCCCTGTTGTCCATGTTTGTCCCAGGTCCTCCCTGACGTGCCCTCATTGCCAGAAGCAGAGCAACACCTTTGACCCTTTCCTGTGCATCTCGCTGCCGATCCCTCTGCCGCACACCCGGTACGGAGCCGTCCCGAGCCCTCGGCTCCTTCGTGCGTGTCGTGTTCCTGAATGTGCTACAGCAGGAAGACAATGCCACCAACATTTCTGATAAGTCCTTAGAAAAGATAGATAGGACTGTTTTGCTTCGCAGGTGAAATGGAAAATTGAGATTTGCGCTTGAAAGGCCTATCCTTCCTATAGAATTAATTTTGGGAGAAAAAGTCTTTTCTTCATATAACCAAAATATTTTGCTTTTCACTTGATTTTATAGCATTTTAAAATTAAAAAAGGGAAAAGGCTGAAGCGCTTGGTTTTTTGAGAGCAGCCTCACTGATCACTCCAATTAAAAAAATTGAAGTTAAAATCTTTCCTGCAAAATGTTTTGGTTTTTTGAAAGACAGCTTATGTAAATAAAGAAAAAACTTCAGGGGAGGAAAAAAATCCAGATGAAACATTCAAAGTGAATATAGAGATGCACAGCAAGACTACCTGTGCTATAGCAAACTCCTTCACCTGGTGTTTGCATCCAGGAAACTTGTGTAGGTTCCAAGGCAATGGAACAGGGTGATGATAGGGCAGATTAAACATCACTGTCACATTTGCTCTGGAAATCCCTGCTTCACTGCTGGTGGAGGCTGAGTGGGCTGTCCAGGGAAGGTGTCCCCTTGCTCTTCTCTCCCCAGCAGTGCTGCTGGCTGCTGTTGGAGGCAGGATTGAGGGCTGAGAGGCAGCCTGTTCCCAGCAGCAGCTCTCCAAGTACTTCAAGGTGCTGTCTTATACTGACTATCCAAGCTTCCTTTCTGGATCCCTGCTGGAAAACTGTTTGCCTTCTCATAGACAGTTTTGGTTTTGGCTTTGTGGGCCTCTTTTGAGATGTTCTGCTTGTGGCAGCAAGTAACACCAGGCCATATAGTAGGAAAGGAGTCTGTAAATCTAACACCCTTGTCGTGCTGCAGCTGAGTGTGGATCCAGACAGTGAGGAGGGCCCTGTACGAGGTGGGCAGCTGGATGTGCCCAGCTGGGCTGAGGCTGCTCGGGCAGTGCCCAGAGGTGCTCAGCCCAGCCTGGCAGTGCTCCATGCTCTCCACAGGCCCCTCTATGTCACCGTGGTGTACCAGGGCAAGTGCTCGCACTGCATGCGCATCGGGGTGGCCGTGCCCATCTCCGGAACAGTGGCCAGGCTGAGGGAGGCGGTCTCCTCGGAAACCAAGATACCCACGGAGCAGGTAAGGGGCTGGGCTGCTCACCTGTGTGCCCTCCCTGCACTGGGAGGGAGAGGGGAGGCTTTTGTCCCTTGTTGGATATATAGCAAGGAGGCAAGGCAGTGGTGGGAATCTGGATCCTGCTTTCCCCTGTGCGCTGGCTCTTTGAATCCTAGTGATGTTGGAATAGCCCTCAGTGCAGTGTGCAGACCTGCCTGGCCCCATGGTGTGCATGCTGGCAGTGAGGCAACCACTGGGCACCTACGCTGAATTCCTCTGTAGGAAGAGCTTCAGAAAAGCTGTTGAATTCCACCAAAACCTCTCCATATGTTGTTTTTACCTCAGCTTCTTGTTTATGGCTGTCCTTTTCCCTGTTCCTTGCTCCTGGCTGATGACAAGGTGTCTTGAATGCCATCCCTTAGCAGGAAAATCCCAGCTGAGGGATGGGGCACTGAGCTGAAACTGTGGGAGGTTTGATGGGTTCTGGTTTGCTTCTGGTGCCTGCAGATCGTGCTGACAGAGATGTACTACGATGGGTTCCATCGCTCCTTCTGCGACACCGACGACTTGGACACCATCCACGAGAGCGACTGCATCTTTGCCTTTGAGACCCCAGAGATCTTCAGGCCTGAGGGCATCCTCAGTCAGAGAGGTGAGTCAATAACTCCCAATGCCCACCTCGGGTGACTGCTGAGGGAGGTTTGTGTGGGAAAAGAGTGAGTCCCACGAGCTGTTGATGTTCTGGTGTATTGATTTCAGCTCTGACTTTGTCCAGGCTCATTCCGGGAGATTTAATAGTGTTGTCAGCTGGGAGGTTATCAAGCAGTGTTGTGCACTCCTTTCTGCCTCTTCTCAGGGCTGATGCTGCAGGCCAGGCTGGCTTAATGTGAAATCTCTTGTCAGGCTTAATTTAAAGGCCTGCTAGGGACCAGATGAAGCCACTGAAATTGCGTTATTTAAAATCAGATTGCTAGTGATGAATAAACAGTCTCAGGAATGAACAAACACTTTCTCTTTCCAAGCTCAAACTCCTCGGCCTCTGCATGTCCCCTCAGTGAAAGGTAATCATGGTATCCTGGGCAGATGGAGTGTAATCAAATGCAAATTTTATTATTGAAAGTAGCAAGTTGGGTTCTTGGCATGTTAGTGTTTCTTGTGGGCAGTAAAAGCTGCGAGTGCTTGTACAACCTGCTGTGAAAAATCAGATGGGGAGCACTTGCATGTAATGTCCTTCTCTAAAGAAGCAGTCACTGTGAAAGGAAGCTGCTCTTTGAAGCCTTTGTCCAAGTGATGAAAATGCTCCTGATTCCATACTGACCTGCTCCTCTCCAGCCCAAGAGGGGCTTCTTGAGGGGGCCATCAGGGCACTAAAGGCAAATGACATCATGAAATGTTTCCTTTCTCCTAATTTTTCAGGAATACATGTGAACAATAACCTGAATAACTTGAAATGTGGCACTGAGCACTCCCGAACAATAGCTTACTCTCAAGGAACGGTGAAGTCTGGAAAACTGGAACAGTCCTGTCCCAAACTAGCAGCAAATGACAAGATTGTCTTGTTGGTGTGCAACAGAGCGTGCACTGGACAGCAGAGCAAAAGGTGACTGGCAGCAGCATGGCTGGAGTTACTCTTCTGGCTGCTTCCTAAACTGACCTGGATTTTACTTTCCTGTAGTACAGGCTCCAGGTGAAGGAGCAGCAGCTTGCATCCCTAGCTCACTTCAGGTGCTAAAGAACATGTTGATCAAACATGTTTATGTTTGATCAAAAGCATTAATGTTTGATCAAAAAGCATTAATGGGTGCAGCAAAATATTTCTAATTTTGGTGCACTTCAAGTATTGCATTACTGTAAAGAAATAAATGCAGCCCAGTTGAGAGAATGCACCACCTTTGTCTGGTTTGAGAGGAGCATGTTTGACCAGACCCTGTTATGGGTGGGAAATTTTAATTGGAGTGAAAATGGGGGGAGAGAGAGAAGTGTGAAACAGCCATGGCAAAGGCATTTGTGTCAACTGGAGCCTGAGAAGTGCCTCAGCCTCTGAAGTTTCACAAAACTTCACATGAAGTTCTCCCATGTAGCTTGGGGTTCTCATTGCTGAACAGGATAATATTTTAATTGTTCCTCAAATGCTTCTCCTTCCCATAGGTTTGGCTTGCCCTTTGTGTTGCACTTGGAAAAAACAATTGCTTGGGATATTCTGCAGAAGGAAATACTGGAGAAGATGCAGTATTTCCTGCGGCCTGCAGCCTGCTTGCAGGTGAGACAAATGTGAGCTGTGGGATGCACAGGTTCCAGTGCTGTGCCTCAGCCCTCTGTCAGCTCACTGGCACAGGCATATTTGAGACCTTGTACATTTGCTTTGTCATGTCAAACGTGTTCTAGGGTGAGGTCTTTGTCAGCCAGTGGCATGTGGGCAGGTTGGGTTGGACCACTGAGGTGGTCTCTGTTCTCTCTGCTGCAGGTTTGCCCCTTCAGCCTGCGAGTGGTCAGTGTTGTGGGCATAACATACTTGCTACCTCAGGAGGAGCGACCCCTCTGCCACCCAACAGTGGAAAGGTGAGCTGGCCTCGGGTGCTGGGTGCTTCCCAGGGGTGGAGAGAGGTGTGTTAGCTGGGAGCTCGGTGTTAACAGTGCAGAAGTGAGCAGTCCTGGTGTGCATGTGTGGAATGCACTGCAGGGGCCTGAGGAGCAGGGAAATGAGGGAGATCCTTAGGAAGCTGTGTGAGAATACCTTGGTTGTGTGTCATGCCATCTGGAATCTGTCCTCCCTGGAAATGGAGAGCAGAATGAAAATATTACTCTCACTATTTTTAGTTTTTTTCTTGTGCCTGTTATTCTTTGAAATGTTGGTAAATGCCTGTTCTGTAACAGGTGTATGTTGCCTTACAGAACTTGCATACTTGGGTGAAGGCATTTACCAGCTTTGCCAAGTGTTTTGCTGTGTGAATTCCTTTTACTCCTTTGCAAACCTCAGCTGTGGGAGTTTGAAGAAAGGGTGAAAGGCTTGTGCAGAGAAATTACATGGATGTAGAAGATAATGTAGACTTTGGATTGAAAGATGGTCTGACTTACTTCTGCTCCTCCCTGCAGGGCATTGAAGTCATGCGGACAGGGGGGAACTGCTCATGTGAAATTAGTGGTAGAATGGGACAAAGAAACTAAAGATTAGTAAGTATGAAGTAAAAACCCTTAAACTGTGTTCACTCACAATTGCTGCTTGCAGCTTGCTTGTGTGAACTGTGCATCCTTCAGCAAACATGAGACCACTCAAACTGCACCTGTGCCCAGCCCCTGTCTGCAGGGACAGCCTGGGGAGCAAGGGGATGTGCTGGTAAATGTGGTGTCTCCCTGATGCAGCTTGTTTGTGAATACAGAAGAGGAATATATTCCAGACTCTGAAAGCGTCCGCCAGCAGAGAGAGCTTCATCATCAACCTCAGATCTGCACTTTATCTCAGTGTTTCCAACTGTACACCAAAGAGGAACAGGTAGATACAGACTGTGTACTCTGCCTTGTGTACATGCCACAGGAACTCCCTCATCCAGGCAGCTCTGTTCTGCAAACATTGATTCCTTGTGACAGGAGAATAGATTTGTAACACAAGATTAGTTGTCTGTGCTGCTAAGGGAGCTCCTCTGCAGTGAGAAGGTTGTGGGAGGTCCTGCTGCTGCGTTCTTTGCTGCCCAAATGTTGATACAAGAACTTAATCCTCTCCTTGGCAATTTCCTTCTGTGAAATATTGTGGATGTTATAAAGGATTAGGACAATGTGCTTCATGGGTTCAGTTCTGCAGGAATGGGCTGCTCCCCTGCTCTGTGAGGCTGAAGAGAGAGGAGTGATGGTGTGCTCAGGCAGGCTAGAGAGGGCTCTGGCCTGGCCCTTGCCTGGCACGTGGAAGCCATCTGAATTCCTCTGGTAGTCTCTGATCTGCTGCTTAAAGGGCTCGTCTGGAGGTGGTCTTTGGACCCAGGACTGAGCTGTAATAATTTGGGAGCCTCTCTTGTTGGTTCTTTCTGAGGTGGGAGAAGAGTTGTTTGAGCTTAAATCTCTGTGGCTTCTGAGTTCTCTGAGCACTGGGCTGTGGAGGGAGGCTTGGGGGACAGGGAGAGTCTTCAGTGTGTTGGGGCTACAGAGGAAGAAGAGGGTTCCCAGAGAGCAGTGAGGTGTCAAAGGGGCATCCAAAGTACACCTTTCTTCTTTCTGCTCTGATTTTTTCTGCTTTTTTATGCCTGCTTTTTTTCCTACTGCTGATTTTCTTGTGAGAATACTTTTCAGGCTGCCAAGTCTGCCTGGTTTTTGCCTTGGTTTTTCCTTTTCCTTCTCCACTTCCAAGGCTCTGGCTTTTATAAGGTGCAAAAAGTTCCTCTGCACAGCAGCACTGGCTGAATTCTGCCTTGCAGCAGAAAGTGCCTCCTGAATGAGGCACACAGATCTCTGCTTGTCACTTTGAAAAGCATCATTGGGAACCCTGCATTTCCAGTGAGCCTGATAAATGCTGGAGGGAGATGAGGCAGAGGGGTCAGTGTCTGCACTGGGCTTGGGGCAGCAGGGAACAGTGGTGTGGTGCAGGCTGCCTTGGACTTTGAACACCAATACCCACTCCTGCCTGTTCCTTGTAGCTTGCCCCAGATGATGCATGGCGATGCCCACACTGCAAGCAGCTGCAGCAGGGCAGCATCACACTGAGCCTCTGGACCTTACCTGACGTTCTCATCATACATCTCAAAAGGTTTAGGCAGGTAAGGATGCCTGTAGTGCTGCTGGAGGACTGCTGAGTGATGTGAGTAGATCCCTTCTTTAGAAGTGGCCGTTCTGCCCTGGGTGTTCCTCACCTGGGTTTTGCCAGGCCTTGGCCTCTGCAGCTCATGCTCTTCTCTGTACACAGGAAGGAGACCGAAGGATGAAACTTCAGAACATGGTTAAATTTCCCTTGAGTGGCTTGGACATGACTCCTCACGTTGTGAAACGCAGCCAGAGCAGCTGGAGCTTGCCATCACACTGGTCACCTTGGAGGAAACCTTATGGCCTCGGCAGAGATCCTGAGGACTACATCTATGACCTGTATGCTGTCTGCAACCACCACGGCACCATGCAAGGCGGGCATTATACAGGCAAGTGTCCTGCTGTGCTGTCTGTGCTGGAGCCTTTCACAAAGATGCTGGTTATATTTCTGTGTGGAGTCAGAAAGGGAGTCACTGATGGAAGCAGTGTCACAGGTTACAGAGGGTGAAGTGAATGGAGCCACCCCAAATGATGTTCTGTTCTGAGTGGTAATGGTGGGCAAAGGAAGTCCTGAAATGTAAGCTGTTCATTGTGTTCTGGCAGCCTCAGGCTTCCATCTTGCCAGTCAGACTGGAAGATGAGGCAAGAATCCATTTGTTCCTCCCATTGTCAGAGTCCATCATAGCAGATAAGGTTATGTTAAATGTCATACAACAAACCTGAGAGCAGTAGGAGTGAGAGAGTCTTATAGTAATGTGTTATTTCTTAGCATATTGCAAGAATTCTGTTGATGGCCAGTGGTACTGCTTCGATGACAGTGAAGTTCAGCAACTTTCTGAAAGTGAAGTCTGCAAGCAGACCGCTTACATCTTGTTCTACCAGCGACGCACAGCGATCCCCTCGTGGTCTGCCAACAGCTCGGTGGCAGGTAAGCCCTGCTGGCCCTGTCCAGGGGTGGCTCTGACTTGTCTTTCTTGGGTAGTTCGTCCTTCTGGAGAATTTTCCACCCAGCTCTGCTTAAACCCCCATTCTTGTGTCCCAGATCTCAGCGAGGGTTGTCTGAGACTGTGGCTGTGTGTCAGAGGCCATGGGAACTTTCAGTTCTTCTGCTAAGGCAGTTTTGGCAGGGAGATGGGGGTGCCCTGTGCCCCACAGGTGACTGCTCAGAGCTGCCCTTGTGCAGGACATCAAGCCTTGGCTCGCTCCTTCCTTTTAGCAGCACTCTCAGTCCCCAGGAGGTGCCCACAGTGCATGTGTTGGTGGAATCCAGGCTGAGCTGTGGGCAGGTGCAGGCTTGCTGACCTGCCCCTGGAAAAAAAGGGATTTTTGTGGCCTTGGGGTGGCAGCTGAAATGCCGCCAGTGCCTGCATGCTGCTAATCACAGCACACTGGGACAAGTGCAGTTCTGGCCATAAGTGCCCCATAAGAGCCAAGCCCCACTCCCGTGGCAGTGTCTGGGTGCTGGGGGGGCGAGGGCAGCCCCGGGCTGGGTGTGAGCAGGGAAGGGAGGGCAGCAGCCCCAGCAGGGCTGTGGGCAGGGCAGGGCAGCAGCCCCGGGCAGGGCGGGGCAGGGCAGCCCCGGCAGGGCTGTGGGCAGGGCAGGGCAGCAGCCCCGGGCAGGGCAGGGCAGGCAGCAGTCCCGGGCAGGGTAGGGCAGGGCAGGGCAGGCAGCAGACCCCGGCTGGGCTGTGGGCAGGACAGGGCAGGGCAGCAGCCCAGGGCAGGGCAGGGCAGCAGCCCCGGGCAGGGCAGGGCAGGCAGCAGCCCCGGGCAGGGCAGGGCAGGCAGCAGCCCGGCGGGGCTGTGGGCAGGGCAGCAGCCCCGGGCAGGGCAGGCAGCAGCCCTGGGCAGGGCCGGGCAGGCAGCAGCCCCGGGCAGGGCAGGCAGCAGCCCCGGGCAGGGCAGCAGCAGCCCCGGGCAGGGCAGGCAGCAGTCCCGGGCAGGGCAGGCAGCAGTCCCGGGCAGGGCAGGGCAGGCAGCAGCCCGGCCGGGCTGTGCCGCTGCTGACACGCGCTCCCCGCAGGCTCCACCAGCTCGTCGCTGTGCGAGCACTGGGTCAGCCGGCTCCCGGGCAGCAAGCAGCCCAGCGTCGCCTCGGCCGCCTCCTCGCGCCGCACCTCGCTCGCCTCGCTCTCCGAGTCCGTGGAGCTGACCGGGGAACGCAGCGAAGATGACGGTGTGTATCTCCGCTGGGGGCAGAGCGGCCGCTTGTCTTTCTGTTGCCAGGTCCTCACTGAAACAGCTGCACAGTCTGTGGTTGCAAGGGACAGTTAGTCCAGGAGGTGAGAGAGGCGTGAGCTGGCTCAGAGGGAGCACAGGTGGGCTTCTGTCTCATGTGAAAGGTTGGAGGAGAGCCAGCAGGAGCCTTAAGGAGCCTTTCAAAGAAGGCAAATGCCATCAACAAAACCTCTCAGTCAGGAACTTCTCGTGCTGGTGTTCTCTCTGGGTCTCACTGCATCACCTTCACAGGGTGGCTGACACAGTCCTAATAGATTTAGCACAGGCACTAATTACCTGCTGCTGTGCTTATGGATGGTCCCACGGAGGGAGGGAGATGAAAATTCACTCATCTATGCAAGTTACTGTTCAGTTCCTGGCTTTGCCTGGTTCCTCCACACATTGTCTTGTAACTTCTGAAAATGCAGAGCTTCGTGGGTCAGTCAGAGCATTTGGAAGCTGGTGTGGGGCTGTCCCTGCAGCAGTGCTGTGACAGCTGTCACGTCTGGCCATGGAAGTTACACTTCTAAAATACTTATATTTTGTGTTTCTAAATACAATTACATCACTTGACCTAGAGGGAGGAATCCTCCTTTGCCTTTCACAGAATGCTCTGGGAAATATTCTTTAATACAGAATCATAATCCTAGCTGGTGATCTTACCAGTTTCAGAGACTTTTGAGGTGCAAACCTTGTGTTTGATCTGCTGCTCAGGGATGAGAGAAGAATCTGGGTTATCAGTTAGAGGCTTCAGAAAGCTGCTCCTGGGTGACCCCTAGCAAGCAACAGTTCTTGGATTCCTCATTCAGCTTTCGTGCAAGAAGCTGTGCCTGCAGCCTGCGTGGAGAGACACATAGTGTGGTGTGGGTGGGCTGCTTGGCTCTCGTGGGGGAATGTGGATGGGTGGGCTGAGCCAGCTGCAGCCTTGGCTTTCCCACCGAGACTGTCACTTGCTTTCTCTGCAGGAGGATTTTCAACTCGACCATTTGTAAGGAGTGTCCAGCGTCAGAGCTTGTCATCCAGATCCTCTGTCACCAGCCCTCTGGCAGTGAGTGAAAATGGTGTCAGGCCCTCGTGGTCACTCTCTGCAAAACTGCAGTTCCGCTCCAACTCCCCGTCGCGCTTCTCTGGAGACTCCCCAGTACATACCTCTGCTTCCACTCTGGAGAAGATTGGGGAAGCTGCTGACGATAAAGTTTCCACCTCGTGCTTTGGCAGCCTGAGGAATCTCTCTAGCAGCTACTTGGAGCCCTGTGACAGCAGCCGGCGGGAGCACAGGACAGCTCGCAGAGCCCCTTTGGCTGTCATGGAAGGGGCGTTCAGGGAAGAGTCCGTTGTAAGGACATCTAGCTCAGACCTTTCAGATGGGTATGGTAAAAGCTCTGTGCAGCCAGACAGGAATCACCCTGCTCTGGACCCCTTTGATAACAACAATCAAATTGCCTTTGTTGACCAGAGTGACTCTGTGGACAGCTCACCAGTGAAGGAGGTGAAAGCCCCAGCTGGGACGGGGCTGGCTGCAGAGAAGGCACATGACACCCCTAAGAAGGGTCACAGCTCCAGAGGAGCTTCTGAGCCAGACAAAAGTTTGAGGAAGGGAAGGACAGTCTTAGCTACCCAAGAGACCAAAGTCTCTCACTCTTCTCCTCCACTGAAGAGTTCTCAGAAAGCTTCCCGGTCTAGAAGTAAGACAGATTCCTCTAGGGTCAGCGGGCGACACGGGTCTCCTGCTCCCACGCAGGCTAGGAAGGACCACAGCACAAAGCCCCTGGAGGCATCTGTCCCTTCAGCTCCACAGAAGCAGAAGTCAGGTTCTCCATCCTCCACAGCTGCCAAGAAAACCCCGTCAGGCTCACTGACTAAGGGCTCTTCCTCCGGGAAGAGCCGGACTGCCGAGCGCAGCCTCAGCAGGGAGGGCTCCAAGGTCAGCCTGGGGTCGGATAAAGCGAGCGTTACCAGCAGCTCCAGGACCAGCTCCCCACGGATCAGCCACTCCAGGAGCGACAGCAGGGCGGTGGACAGCAAGCACGTGCGCAGCTCCTCCATGGCCAACCTGCGCTCCCCGAACGTCGGGCCGCGTTCTGGCCTGAAGAGGGACAGCAAGTCGGAAGAGAAGGGTTTGTCTTTCTTTAAATCAGCCTTAAGGCAGAAGGAGACACGGAGGTCGGCAGACCTGGGGAAGACAACAATGCTTTCAAAAAAGACAGGGAGTGTCAGTTCCAAGTCGGGCAGCAAAAATGTGCTGGAGGACAAACCGGAGAAAGGTGGCGTCCCACCAGCCTCTCAAACCAATGCCAACATTGCTACAAAAGAAAAATTTGTCTCAAAAGATGCCACATCTAACAAACATTCTCTGCTATCCAGTCGCAAGTCCAAGTCTTCCCAGCTAGATCCCGGAGTCCAGTCTCCTCCTTCCAGTGGCAAGCAGTCTGCTGACAAGCCGCTGAAAAAAATACCTTCCAGCATGCAGGTGTCTGTACGGCCTTCTCTGGAACCTCAGTGAAATGCTGCAATCCAGGTGTCTTTTCTTCTGCTGAGAAGCTAATTTATTCTGAGCTCTTGTTTTTTGTTCATGTGCCTAATGTATGTTTTGAGGAGAAGTTAACTGCAAGTTGTTAAAGCGCCTTTGATTCTGCCATCAAACCAAATAGCCACAGGCAGCCAGCACTGGTGCAAGTAGCCTAGCTGGAGTCGTTGTTGAACATGAATGCAGCTGTCCCATAGCACTTGTACAGGAGTCTCTGTCGAAAGTGCAACAACTTTCTTCAGATTTGAGGGTTGGGACCTGACCCCCAGTTGTACTGACACTGGTGTGCTTTGTAGAGCTGTGAACTGATATTCCTTTGGTCCTGTTCTGAGTGGGCTGTGTCCACACTGGTGTATGGCCTTGTTCTGAGCTGTGGAGGATGCGAAGGAAACTGGAGAGACTGTCGCTTCTTTCTGCTCTCAACTCCCTGTCCCTGCTCCCCTCCATTTCCAAGCTTTCTAAAGGGCAATATTTCAACACTAATGTTGTTTCTCAGGTATATACTCAGCCAGTATAGGAGGGACTAGCATTAGTGACGGACAGAAAGGTACCTGTGTGTCTCTGTGCCCGTCTGTGTAATAGATTTCGTTTTGGCATTCCAGCAGCAGGAAGTTTGAAATGTAACCTGCAGTTTTTGTTGCTGTGTCTGTGAAGAGTTTTGCTTTGTCCATACCTAAGGCAACCTCTAGCCTGTCCTGTTTCACTACTTTCTTCTGAAATGCTCTACTAAACAACAGAAGAAATCCCTGGGCAGCAGCTGCTGGCCAGCTCGTCCTGTGGAGGCAGTGCCATGGGAGAGTTACATCCACACACCTGGATGGCCATGATGCTGTCAGGATGCCCCTGTTCAAACTCCTGGGAAGCATTTCCTAGTGTGCTCAGACCCTTATCCTAGTGGTGTAATTAAGCCTCCATTATCTCTAGGGGTGTTGTTTAGATCAAGTGTCATCCTGCCCTCCCTGAGCATGCTTTGACAGGCCCCTTTGTGTGGGTTGGAGGGACAGTTTTCCTGTTCCCCAGAGTGCTGTACATTCTTCCCTCTGGCATGCTCTTCCCCTCCCCATGGGTCTGGCTGCCACATGTCCCTCAGTGGAAGGTTCCCCTTCTTGTTTGGATGACAGCCTCCATCAGGGTCAAAACACTACATCTACTGATGTCTTTGTTTACATGCCCTTCTTACAGGGGAGATTCCTCAAGTTCTGTAGGGTTCCTCTTAAGGTGGATTTCTTAAGTCCTTTTACATACATGTGGTGTAATTATTTTTTTTTTAATTCTGTGAGTTTTTATTGATGTGCTGCATATCCTTTATGTCCACAGCCTGTGTAGGTTGTGACAAGCTGGGCAATGTGCTGGGCACGCTCTCAGCTGAGCGAGGTCTGTGCCTGTCCAGTCCAGTGGCAGAGCTTGGGGTCAGGGACGTGTGTGGCCTGTCCCATCAGCATAACAAACTGGCCTCTGCCACCTCCCTTGCTGAGGTCCTGCTTGCCCTGCAGGCAGCCTTGCCCCCAGGACACCTTGCTGCTCAGTTTTCTGCTCACCACACACCTGCAGCAAGCTTGGGAGGGAAGGGTTGGGGGTAGCTGGCTCCTGGTGTGTGTGGGGCTCAGCTGGGAGTGCATTGAGCTGGGTCAGTGTGTGGGGATGAGCCCACCTGCCTGCAACCCTTGCAGTGTCCTGGTGATGTCCTGCTGCATCCCCTTCACGTGCTCCAGCAGTGCCACAGCCTGCAGGTGTAATGCCCTGACTGTTCCCCCAGACATGACCGACCCCTCAATGCATTCCTTCGCCCAGGCATTGTGTCAGTCTCATTTATTGCAGCAACAAGAAGCAAAGATTGCATTGCTTGCTTCTGAAATGTACGACATGGATTATTCTTGGATTATTTTGTGTTATATCCAGCAGAGCAGATAAGACTTGCTTCACATTGCAGTACTTAAATTACTCCCTGAAATGTTGATGTTGAAGTATTTGTTTAAGGTTTTATCTGTATTAAGGTCTTACACTGTCTTGGCTCTTCTCTTGTAACAACTCTTCTAGCAAGAATGTAATTCCAGTGGCTTACGCTGACTCGGTTTGGGATCTTTGAATAGACAGAACTACTTTCTGTGCATTTTGCCATGGACGTTTGTGAAAGGTTATTTTTATCAAATGACTTTTTTTTTTTTCATGTCATCATTCACTGAAGGAGTTTAAACTGGAAGCTGGTGTGTGGGTTTTGAGGTGGTTTTGCTCCTGTGCTGCATGCGTGACTGAAGGGAATTTGAAGCCATGTCCAAACCCACGTTTTAGCTGACCACCAGTTCAGTGTTTGTATCTGTAGCAAGACAGTGGTCCTTGGAGCTCTCATTTGGGTAGGAGGGAGATGGAGGTCCTGGCATTCCAGCAGCTGATAATAGTAATTGAACCTCTGCAATCCCATGAGATGCCAGTCTCACTCTCTTTCTGCACGTTCTCCATAATTCCTGATGCTATTGCTGCCAGCTCCAGCACTGTCTGCTCTCTCCATGCAGCCAGGCTGGATTCCTGTCCCTCTGGAGTGGCAGCTCTGTGCCCGGGCTCCGTGCCTGCAGAGGAGTGCGAGTGGGCAGCAGGGGCTGCCCTGACAGGCCCCTCGTCTCTGAGGTGGGCTGCTGCTCCTCCCTGCTGGCTTTCTGCTCACCAGGGCCTGGCTTGGGCTGTCCTCAAGCAAAGTGGTTTGACTCGCCAGGGCACACCGGAGTTCCTGGGGGATGTAAGCCACGCTGGGCCGAGCGTGGAAGCGTGTGTGTGAGCCTTTGGGGACACACAGACACCCTGCTCGTGTCTGTGTCTGTAGCAGGCCCTGGGAGCAGCACTCCTGTCACTGACACTCTGCTTGTCAGTGGCACACAGCTTCAGCATAAACGAGCTTCCTTGCACAGGAGAGGGTTGCAGGGTGTGGGTCTGGGAAACACGGTTCACTGGGTGTGTCATCAAAGCCTTGTTGCTGTTACAGTCGTGACTCTGGCAGTGAAGTAGGATAGATGTTTCTGAAATGGAATGTAGGTTATTACAGGCCCTACTTAAAGGGATTTGGGGAAAAATCATCAGTCTTCTCTCCTTGCTTTAAAGCAGACTTCTCTCTTGTCCCTTTCACGTATAGGAACTCCTGTCCATGGTATTGTGTTGTCCAGCTGCCAGGATGTGGCATGGTACCAGGGAACACTCGAGAGAGGGATCTGCCAAGTCCTAGATGCCAACACCACCGTGGCTTTGCATATGGATCCTTCAAGCAGCAATGGCTTGAGGCTCTTCTGGAGCAGCTGCATTTACATGGTCATGTCTTAAAGTCCCTGCTGGCCATCAGAAGCACTGGTGGCTGTGGGGGAGGTGGGCTCTGCCATCTCCCAGAGGCTGCTGCTGCCCAGGGACCTCTGCCTCCCCTGGCTGGTGGCACGTAGGGCCTGGAAGTCTCGTGGGCATCTGAGTGTGGTGGGAGCAGCTGCTGCCAGCTCTGTCCTGCCCTGCCTGTCTGGGGACGGCAGGGTCTGGGACCTTCTGCCGAGGTTTTGGAAGCAAAGGTATGCCTCATGGTGATGGGAAATGCCTGGGAAGGGGGAGGCCCAGCAGTGTCCCTGCTCCCAGACAGGTGAGCTCCAAGGCAAAGCAGGTGTTCAGGCAGTGTGTTTCCACTTGGCTTTGGGTTGGAGTTGCCTGTGCCAGCGTGTGACTTGCATTTCACCCCACGTCCCTAGTCTGCCACTTGCTCCTGCTCCTGGAATTGGCCCCCTGGGCGCAGGAGAGCAGCGCCTTCATTCCAGTGCTCAATTCCTGCAGGAGTCACCTAGAGACTTTTTTTTTACCCTTTTTGGGCTGTGTCTTTTGGACAGTGTTTAGTAGTATTCAAGTTATAAGCACATTTTCGATGATGTGTATTGAAGAGGCACCTTTTATTTGTATTAATCACATTTGATAGACAATTTGGTGCCTGCAGTTCTCTGTAACTTGTGTCTCACTTTGGGTGTGTAAATTGTTAACCCTTTCACACTTATCAAATATGAATTAATAAAAACAAGATGCTTAGGATAGAAAGCTAGCAGCTTAATTGCACTTCTCCCACTGCAAGTGCCCTCATGCGCCGTCGCTGCAGGGGTTTTGCTTCCTGAAGCTGAAACTTGAGCATGCCCAACCACTTTCCTCGGTGCCAGGCAGCTTGCATGGCCGTGCTGTCCCCTGCATGTCCCTCCTAACTATGCAAGCCTCAGCCCAGCGTGGCTCTGGAGCTGGTGCAGCTGCTGCTGGACACAGGAGCATGTCCCTGGGCCCTGCTTCCTTTGCACATCTTCGGCTCTTTCCTTTGCAGGATTCCGCGTTGCTGACAAGGCTGGAGCGTAACGTAAGGTTAGAGGGATTGGAGCAGGGAAATGAGAACAGACTGAGTTCTGCTTTGTGTTGCTTTTCCTTTTGTTAGCAGGGCTCCTGCTCGGGGTCCTGTGTGCAGCCTGCTGTGCGTGCAGAGCGAGGGGCTGTGACGGGCACGCAGAGCTGCCGGGGTGTCCTCGAGAGGGGAGCGTTCCCTGCTGCCCACGCTGCTCCTGGGGCTTTGCCTGCCTGCCTGGGGCCCGGGCTGCTGGCTGTGCTGTGCTCTTGGCGTTTGGGCCGTGTCCTCTGGGCAGCCCTGTGTGCTGCTGGCCCCAGGGCTCCTCCTGCCTCTGCCCTGCAGCTCGGCGCCCTCCCCTTGGTCAGCTGGCATGGAGAGTGTGTGGAAACAACATTCCAGATAATTTCACTCTTGGGTGTTGTTTTGTGGTTTGTTTTTTAATTTTTTAAAATTTTAGTTTGGTTTGTTTGGTTTTTTTTTTTTAAATCTTTATCATTTGCCTACTAATCCAAAAGAATTTGGCAGTATCTAATGATACCTGTGGAGGGAACTGAAATTTAGTTTTAATCTGTGGTGAGATGAAAGTCCTACATGGTTTTCTCAACAAAAGCATTGTAAAGCAGTTACTGTTAAGAGCTTTGTTTTGTAAAAGAAAAGCACCTGAAGACTTGTACAATGTCTGTGTTAGATCTAAAGGCTTAGGGACTCTATTTTTTAAAAGGTGATAGCACTCAATTTATCTGCAAATAGTGTTTTTTAAAAGACACAGATTAAAACTAAGCGTAACCACCAGTCCTGGCTCACCCAGCCCTGCAGTGCACGCGTGCTGGCCTCAGGCTCGTGTGCCATTTGTGAGTGCAATAACCCCTCTGGAGGTGCTACACTGCCTTGGGTAGGGTAACACAAGGGAATCCAGGCCACCAGTGGCTCTGCTGTTGTCCTGTGGCCTTCCAAGTATGAATTTGTACAGATTTGCTCACCACCTGTGCCTCACCATTGGTTAAAATTGAATTTTAAGTCCTGTTGCAAATGCAATTTCTCTTCTGGACACAATGTCAGGTTTTACACTGGAATATCTACAGTTCTCAAACTGCATGTCACATCACTGTACCTGGTACAGGGACGTGGGGCTTTCCCACATCTTTGATATTCTCCTCTGTATTTTAATGTTTTTGACCTGTACAGTAATTGGAAAGCAGGCTGTCTACTTGGGGTTGAACATTGTACCATAAATTTTAAATTATTTGAGGACAACTGCATGAGACTGTGTCAATGCCTTTTATTATTTATTTGTATGTTTTATTATTCGAGGTGTATGCACTTTTAATATGCAGAATTTATATTTTTATGTTAAAAATCATTTTCTTTCAGAAAGAAGAGTTTGAATATGAGGAATTGGAATTAAGTGCAAAAAGGGGAATATGTAATAAAATACAATAAATTTATTACTAGGCATCCTGCCTGAGTGAGCGTTTTTCCAGGCTGCAGGCTTGGGAGCTTCGCCGCGTGCCCCGGGGCTCCTTGGGGTGGCAGAGGCAGAGCCGGGCTGGGGCCCGGGTGCAGGGCAGGGCAGGCAGGGCAGGCAGGGCTCTGCCGGGCTGCCCTGGTGTTCTCTCTCCACAGACTGCAGCCCAGGAGTGCTGCAGCCCAGGAGTGCTCGGCCCCAGCGGGCGCAGGACCTGCGCAGAGCCGCGTGCCGGTGAGTTTGTCCCCGAGCCCAGGGCAGCGGTGCTCGGGTTCCTGTGGCTCACCCCTGCTCAGGCAGAGCTGGGGATGTTCCTGCCACCCCTCCGAGCCTCACCTCGGGGTCAGCCCCCCCCGGGAAGGGGCTTCTCAGCGCCAGAGCAGTCCCCTGCTGCCCCCAGCCCTGCCCGCAGCAGTGAGGCCAAGCTCCAGCCAGGAGGGACACAGGGACCCCGGTGCTGTGGCATTTGGGGCCAGGAGAGCCCCAGCCAGATCCCCACACGTCCAGGAGACCCTCGGGCCCCCCTGCCCTCAACAGGGCCAAAGGTCTCAGGGGCTTCTGCCACCACCAGACACTGGGGGCTTGAAGCTCCTCCAGCTCTGTCCTAATTACAGACTGTTTTTCCTTCAGCAGGGTGTGCAGTGCTGGCTCCAGACGCAGAGGAGAGCGTGGATGGGCTGCTCCTGCTGCCACCTGCCCCAGCCCGGCGAGGATGAGGATGGAGCAAGGCAGGAGGAGGACAGGCTGCCTCTGCTGGGTGCTGAATGGAAACCCTCAGTCCTTGGTGGAGTGTTTGCATGAGCCACCCTGGGCTGGGAGAGCTGCTCCAGCTGCCAGTCTCAGGGCAAAGGAGGCACAGGAGGCTTTGCCCACCCAGGGTCTCCTCTGGGCAGGAGGATGGAAGAGGACGTGCCCCCTGTGCCTGCAGCCTCTCTGTGTGGACTCAGATCCTCCTGCTCCAGTGAGCCCTCGGATCAGTGCGTCAGGGGCTGGCCTGGGCTTCACAAACTCACCTTTCAACACAATTTTTGACTCTCAAGGGTTCTTTTTCTCTCCTGCTCCATGCACATTTTTGCAGGTGGGGACTGTTGCCAGGTGAGCAGCATTATCACCCCCATGCCCTTCAGTGCTCACCAAAGGGGAGCTGTCAGTGAATGCCCCTGGTTCCCCAAACCCCCAGATGGGCTGTCCTGGTCTCCCCTTGCCTGGGGTGGTTACAGAAATGGTGATGTTGGTGTGTTTATCAACAGCTGTGCTGCATCACCCTTGCCCACACAGTGGGGGACACACGGCCCCTGCCGTGGAGCCTTGGTCTGTGTTTCCATGTTCCCATCCAGCCTGCTGGGCGTGCTGAGCTGGAGCTGAGCCCTGGGCTGAGGAGCTGGCTGCTGCCCTGGCCAGTCCCGCACACAAGTCCCACCCCTGCCTGCACCAGAGGCTCTGCTTCACAGCTCGTGTAGAAATGGGGATGGCAGATGTCATATTAAATCATGGGGTCATCACTTATTTATAGGTGATTACATTAAAGAGAGATTAATATAGCCAGAGGCTTCGCAGAATTAGAGTTAATGTACTTGTGTTTATTATATTTGCCAACATTTCTCCAATCCAGCTGGGTTTTTCTGGCCACAGGGTTTAGCAGAGAGCCCACTGCCATCCCCCAGCCTACCTGGGAGGGGGGTGCGAGGTCCATGGAGAACCTTTGAGAACTCTGATCTTGGAGTGGTCAGTTCTGCTGCCTCCCACTTCCTGAGGGTCCGTGGGCAGCGCCTGGGGCACGGGGAGGGCAGGGCAGGACTCAGCCATGCTTAGAGTGGGGTCGGGAGGGGAGCCCACCCTTGGGGCTCCCAGATGCCACTCTCAGGCTGGGATTATGCTGTGTTTAACTGGGATTAGACTGCTGCAGAGCTGGGCACGGGTTTCTGACACCCTGGGGACGGGCTGTGTCCCTGAGGGGCACTGGTGGGGAAGTGCCAGGTCTGTCCTTGGTCCTGTGTCCCCAGAGCCTGGTCGGCTGTCTCCTGTCCCATGGACTGTAGGGTGGCTGCTGCCAGCTCAGGGGACACCAGCAGAGCTGCCCTGCTGATGGATGAACCAGAGGAGCCAAGAACACCCTGTGTTTGGCTGGAGATGCCAAACCACACAGGACTGGGCACTGGCTGTGCCAGTCAGGACTGGGTGCATAGAGTGGATGTGTGACTCCCTGCTGCTGCCTGGTGGGACACCTGCCTGCCTCTGAGAGCCAGAACAAAACCCACGCTCTGGGAGGCTGTCAATAAATTGTAACACATTAGGCACTGTCACCCCTACCCCTGGACTCTTAAATTTTGGTCTAATTGGAGTATTGCTTTTCCTTCCTCAGCACTTTTTCCCCTCGGCCAGGTATCGATCCTGGCTCTGTGGGGATCTGGCTAACTGTTGGCAATTTATGGGAACATAAAACTAGTCCATCGTAGAGCAAAAACCCAGCTTTTAATGAGAAATGGCGACATCAGCCTCTGGCTGATTCCAAGGTGGATTTACCATTCTGCAGTGGGTCCCCAGGCCAGGGGAACAGGGGATGTTGGGGAAAGGGACCATGAGGAGCCCCTTGGGCTGGGCTACCTTGTGGGCAGGAGAGGCCTGAGGGGCTTTTGAAGATGTGGGGGTCTCCTTCCTGGTCTCCTGTGCCCCTTCCCATGGTGGTTGAGGGTCTGGCTGGGGTCCCCTGACCCCACAGCACCTGGGTCCATAGTGTGTCCCCTCCTGCCTGGAGCTTGGTCCTGCTGCTGTGTGGCAGGAGCTGGTGGGCAGCAGCCTGGGCTGGGGCTGCAGGACACCTCTGGGAGAGAAGGGCTCAGGAGCTGGGCAACCTCCCAGCTCTTCCACCTTCCTTGCTCAGCCGCCCAGCCCCTCGTGGGGCTCTCCCCTGGTGATGGATGCCTCTGTGGCTTTGCAGCTTGAGGCTGGCTGTGAATTCCCAGACCTGTGGGCCTTCATCCTGCTGGGCTGTTCCTGCAGGTTTGGGGCAGTGGGCTCCTTGGGATGAGGGGGCAGCTGGCACTCCCAGCCCCGCTCCTGAGCATCCCCTCGCTCCCAGCCCGGCCAGCCGTGGCTCCCAGCCCGCAGACACGCTGTGCCCGCTCTGTCGCGCAGCGCCAGGGCGTGTTGTGTTGGGTGTCCCGGTGTGGAGCAGCTGCTCTCCCCGCCATTTGCTGCCATCTAATTGCGGCTTTATTGAAATGAGTCTAAATTGCCTGGGAATGCATTAGCCCGCTGTCTCCCTGCGGCGCGCGCTCCGCAGAACGCTCCCGTTCGCAATCTCGTGGAACCGGCTCCCTGGAGAACCGGCGCATTTCCCAACAGCCTTAATGAGCTTCCAGGCTGGGGTCGGACTGTCTGGGCAGCGGTAACGGGGCCGGGGGCTCGCCCCGTGCTGCCCCCAGCTCTGTGCTCCAGGCTGTGGATAAATAACTCTGCCCTGAGTCCCTTTGCTCTGGCAGCAGGCGCAGTGTGCGCGTCGCAAAGCAATTCTGGAGCCCCCGGGACAGTCTTGAAGCACTTTAATATTTTGTGAATGATTTATTGAGGGTAACGAGCAGATGATAGACTGCATTTCGAGGTGTGGATTATCTATTAGAGCTCGTGTTGAAGGCATCTGCGCTGACAAGCTGCTGCCGAGCGAGGCGAGTACGAGCGATCTGTTGTGTTACAGGAGGGGTCAGCACCTCCTGCGGCAGCTTGGAGAGAGCCCAGTGCCCCGCCCGAGCTCTGGGGACAGCTCTGGGGACAGTCCTCTCTGAACCCCGGCTCGCAGCTCCTGTCACGCCTGGCCAGGACGAGCTTGGTGGCGATTCCCGCGGCGCTGGATGGGCTCATGGGCCGTGACACCCCCTCTGCAGCTCTCAGGGATGGAGCTGGGCAGGCGCTCCACTGATTTATGAGGTGATTTGGATCGTGGGGCCGGTCCCGGGCCCTGCCGCCCACCCCGCGGAAGGCGCCGGCTGCGGGACACGAAGGGACACGAAGCTCTTTGCTCTCCGGGACACGAAGGGACACGAAGCTCTTTGCGCTCCGGACACGAAGCTCTTTGCACTGAGGGACACGAAGGGACACAAAGCTCTTTGCGCTCTGGACACGAAGCTCTTTGCTCTCCAGGACACGAAGCTCTTTGCGCTCTGGACACGAAGCTCTTTGCTCTCCAGGACACGAAGCTCTTTGCTCTCCAGGACACGAAGCTCTTTGCTCTGGACACGAAGCTCTTTGCGTTCTAGACACGAAGCTCTTTGCGCTCCGGACACGAAGCTCTTTGCACTGAGGGACACGAAGGGACACAAAGCTCTTTGCGCTCTGGACACGAAGCTCTTTGCTCTCCAGGACACGAAGCTCTTTGCGCTCTGGACACGAAGCTCTTTGCTCTCCAGGACATGAAGCTCTTTGCTCTCCAGGACACGAAGCTCTTTGCGCTGCGGGACACGAAGCTCTTTGCTCTCCAGGACACAAAGCTCTTTGCTCTCCGGGACACGAAGCTCTTTGCGCTGCAGACACGAAGCTCTTGCTCTCCAGGACATGAAGCTCTTTGTGCTCCAGGACACGAAGCTCTTTGCGTTCTGGACACGAAGCTCTTTGCACTGAGGGACACGAAGGGACACGAAGCTCTTTGCATTCTGGACACGAAGCTCTTTGCGCTCCAGGACACGAAGCTCTTTGCGCTCCAGGACACGAAGCTCTTTGCGCTGCAGACATGAAGCTCTTTGCTCTCCAGGACACGAAGCTCTTTGCACTCTGGACACAAAGCTCTTTGCGCTGCAGACATGAAGCTCTTTGCGCTCCAGGACACGAAGCTCTTTGCGCTCCAGGACACGAAGCTCTTTGCGCTGCAGACATCAAGCTCTTTGCCCTCCAGGACACGAAGCTCTTT